AATAAAATAAAGCATCATATTTTCAATAAATCTGTACTAATGACAGAAATTATATCAATCATGCGACTACCGTGATAGAGTTAAGTATGGCACCCCTATGATAGAATCACCGGAAATTTTTCTAATTTACATGCCCTGGAGGCCATTGTTTTAAATGCCAACTACCCGACTGAAAGAATTTTGTCCCACCGCATGAAAACAAATGTTTAATCTTCAGGAACAGGGGCCGGGGCCGGGGCCGGTGTTTATGGAAATCTTATGTGACCAATAAATTAGGACTACGACAGATTAGCTGTGGTCTGTTACCAAATTTTATGTACTAGCAAATAAATTTTTCCTTTCTTTGTATAAGTACTAATTATGGAAGTTAGGTGTAGCGGCACAACCATCCTACAAACACCTCAGTAGGAAATTGACGCCTATTTGGAGTATTCAAATCTATCATACGAAAATCTGGCAAACAGTCCTTATAAATGACAACTTCTTCTGTGATTAATTGAGTGTCGACTAGTTCTTGAAATTTCTACCCAAAAAAGAAAAAGAGAGAGAGAGAGAGAAGTCATTGAAATATTGCTAGTAATTACCAAATGGCAGCGTGCAATGGCAATGGTCCCTTTGGCTCCAAGTTGGAGTTTCATGCTATCCAGACTGTGATGCCAGTCAAGCCAACTGATCCAAGAAAATCCACTCGAGTTTGTCTTTCTGAGAATCCCATTTCAGGGATATTCTTCAGGTGCTTTAACGTTCTTCTGTGCTACCAAAAGGTAGCCTCAGAAGAGGAGGATTCGGGGATAGCTTCTGGCTCCCTAGTTGCAGGATGGATCAGGGAGTCACTGGGATGGGCATTATCAGAGCAGCCAATGCTTGCCGGAAGGCTAAGGAGAAATCAAGATGTTGAAGGAGAGTTGGAGATGGTGTCAAATGATTCAGGAGTTAGACTGATTGAGGCACAGCTTGCCATGACCTTATCAGAGTTTCTTGATTTGAAGGATAAGAAAAAAGCAGAAGCTGAACTTGTCTATTGGGAGGGTTTGGATCGTGAACAAAATCCTCAATTTTCCCCTTTGTTTTATGTCCAGGTTAGCAAGTATACACACTAAAAATTGGATTACTATACTTCTAGACTAGAACTGACCAATGATTAAGTCTCATGCATGATAAACTGATAGCTCACACTAAGGCGTTGAGGAATCATTCATCATTTGGTAAACTTTTTAAATTTGGGATTTGTTTGTTCTGGGTATTAGCGGTGTCATAGGTGAAGATAATGTAAAATATATCTGATCTTCAGGTGAAAGGATCTAAGCAGTATCTTCATTTTTTTCTTTTAAATATGTTTTAGGTAACCAGCTTCAAATGTGGGGGATACTCTATTGGGATTAGTTGCAGCCTTCTTCTGGTTGATCCTGTTGCTATGACAAGTTTTTTGAAGAGATGGAGAGACATTCACGTTGAAATGGTTTCAAGAACTGATGTGCCCAAAATACCAATATTTTACCGACCCAATCTTAGGAACCCTGGCCCTTTACCAGGTCTATCAATTGGCTCAAGCAAAAAAGCATATGCTGCCAAAACTATGATCTTCACCATTGCCAACAAAGTTCTGGATTTGGACAGTGAAATCCACAACAAATTTGCAGCAGCATGCATTGATGAGGCAGAGTACAAGCTTGGCTATAAAACAGCTCCAAGCTTAAATTTCTCCTTCTTGGTGAAAGAACCATCAGAAGAAGTTAATGTAAGAAACTTTACGAGAGAAGGGTTGGTTCAAAAACCATCCACAACTGTGAATGGAATTCACACTTGTTCAACTTGGGATGACTTAGGGGTTACAGAAATCTGGTTTGAAGAAGGAAACAGGCCTGCTCATGTATCATGCTGGATCAACTCTGTGCCTGATGAAGCTTTGGTCATGATTATTCCATCTCCAGAAAAAGATGGCTCAGGAATGAAAATTGTAGTTACACTTCCCCATTAAAGATTTTTCTTGTAGCTTCCCTGATGCTTTTTAATATTAAGAGTTTAATAGATCTTTTGATTATGTATTGAATGAGTCAGACATAAACACTTGACTTGTTTCTTCTAGATGGATCATCTTATAGTTGTTTCACTTCTTTTATTAAAGCATTTATTAGCAAGATTCGTATGTTAGTTGAGATTTTCAACTTTCCAACTAATACCTATTTTCACTTACAAGAAGACATTTGAAAACTATTCCCCACACACACACACACACTTAGCCTTCTCTGATTGGTTTGAGCAATTTAGGCTTTGTTTGAATTGCATTTTTTTGGATTTTTTGTAGAATACTTACTGTAATGATTTAATATATGTGAGATAAAAAGGTGATTAGAAAATGTGTTCACGAAAAACGTAGCAAGTTACATGAAAAATTACTGTCCAAACAAGGCCTCAGTGCTCTAATAAATTGGCCAACTAGGGATCTTTACTCCTTATGTAATTAGTAATTACCCCAATTCAAGCAAAATCTTTCTTGATGGCAAGCTACATGAACACTTGGGCCCGCTGTTGGATTTGAATGGAGTTTTCTAACTTGTAATAAATGGTCTGTGCTGGCTTCCACGGCTCTACTTACTAACTATACAATTCAATGAGTTACGTCGGCTCAGTATCAGAAAGGAGTATCTTACTCATGTCTCATGAATTATTGCGTCCTTCAATCCATCAAGATGGTGTTACTAAGGCGCGGTTTGGATTACAATTTTTAGGAGTTTGGATGGAAAAAATACTTGTAGACAGGGTCACGTATGAACTGCACTTTTTAGGAGTTTTTTTCTTGTGTAGCGATGTGATATATATGAAAGATAATTATAATATATATATATAATATATTTAAAAATTCTCCCCAAAAACTCGCAATCTAAACAAGTTCTAACTATATTACAAACAAGGGAGCCAATCATGGGTAATCGAATAACTAAAGAACTAGAAAATGCCTTTACTATGATTGGATGGCCATTATTTGCAAATATTATTATGCTTACATGATAAATATATTGTTTAATTATTTTTTGATCCTTTAAGTAAATTTTCATTTCACATACACGACATTACCAAAAAAAATATTACAGCATTATTTCAAATAATTTCCTATCCAAATGTTTCATTCAGATTTACAATGCAGGGAAGAGAGACTTGAGGTTTTCTTTGGTGGAATTGTCTTGTCCAACTAGATTTGTTGGCGGGCCTGGGAAAATCTTTTGGCAAAATTGGGTAACATGGGTGAATCGCGTCCTCACCATTGATACCTTTCTCGCCTTTTAGGCTAAGATGAAGCTTCTGCATAAGGTTGGTGGCTACCACCTAAGTGGGTGGGGTGGGAGGCAAGTGTTTGTTTCCCACCAAAAAATCTCACATCTAAGTGGTTTGTTTCTAAAAAATTCACGCGAGTGTACTGTGCACCCGTCTGGTCCGATGGTAGTTCAGTCCTCTCCGGATTACCTCTGGATCTCCTTAGGTCCGTCCCCTCTCCCTTAATGTAGGATAGAATAAGTTTATCGTCTCTGAAAAAAAAAAAAAAAAGAAGCTTCTGCATCCTTCAAGGAAAGTCAATTTTTGACCAATACTAGTCGCCAATTGTCTGCATCGAAAATAGCAAACACTTGAGTAGACTCAATCTATACACAGACTGTGTGCCCTATGTTTTGTCACGCCATTTTTCACCAACCCAAAAATTGAAGATGTGACAACATTTGAACCACATGATCTATAAGACTAAGCCTACCCGAGTTTTTGCCTCGAAAAAATTATTCCAACCTCAAAGAACAACTACAAAAATGTCCCATGTTACAAACAAGAAGAAGAAGTCAGGAGACAGCAAACCACATTAAGGCCTCAATGTTGGACATTTCTCCCAGATCTGGATAAGACTGTTTTGGGCCTGGTCCATTTGCAACATTTTCTTTCAATAGCCTTTCGCTCCTCCCTGTATTTTTATATTTTCTCTTTTGTACCTAGAGCAGACTGTATTTGGTACGCCAAAGACAGAGTATATAAGGAAGAGCGAATAAATAAAAATTAATTTTATATATACGAATAGTATTTATGCTATTACAGTGATACTGTATATAATGTTAGTGTATAAAATAGTAATAGTGTATGCAGTGTTAATATATAAAAGATTAATCTAATAAATACACATAATTTCTTTGCTCTTTCTTATGCCTTTCAATTAATTTCTATTTCATATACATGTTATAGCAGCGAGATACATATGCAATCTATATAGTTAGCTATTATTCCAAATTATAACAAAGAGATTACAAAAAACAATCAAATACTTCTTCGTTTTAATTCTAATCAAACTAAGCATAAATCAATTCAGCTCATCTCATGTTGATCCTGCTGAAGTTAACTCCATAATGAAATGGGTATATTTGGGTATAAACCCAAATTAATTCCTCCCATCGTTTGCCATCGGGAGTTATATGAGGTTTTATTTTATTTGGATCTAGGATAGAAGAGTGTGAATTTTAGATTTTTTTTTTTAATTTTTGAAGTAAATCAATATATAAGGTTTTTGTTTTCTATGTATCAATTCCACAGCCAATTCCAAAGCCAGTAAATACTTGTCCCACTTTTAAAGAAAAGGGGTTCTCTATTTTCACCATTCTTTCTTTTGTAACACTAAATTATTTAAAGTTTGGTTTTGGCCACTAAATCATTTAAAATTTAAATTTGAGTCATCTTGTCAAATTTTATCATTAATCGTGCCTCTTTCTTTTGTCTCGTGAGTTGTGCGAGCACTCAAATCTGACATAATTAACGATCAAATCTAATAGAACGATCTGAAATATAAATTTTAAATAGTTTAATAGCTAAAATCAGATTTTTAATAATTTAGTAACCAAATTTTGGAGATTCTAAAAGTTTAGAGGTCATCTGGATAATTCGCTGGACAGTTAACTGTGTCTTTTAGAATCACCTCCTCTGAAGTTCTGTGATTTCTCGCATTAAACCCGTTAATTTAACATATCTTTCAAATGTACCCCCTGCTCCAGAGTCCCAGAGTCGGTCTCGCCAACTCTCTTCCTCTTTACTACTGTCGAATCGCTCTATTCGCAATAAAGAGAAAAAGGTTCATTTCTTACCCAAAGCAGTCAAATGGGCTTTGAATTCTTGAAGAATCTCTATCCTTTATAGCTTTTCCTGAAGAGAGGGGTAAAAAAACAAAAGGAAAAGGCAAAGGTTTTTGTTCCTTTTTTTCACAATGGAGACCAGTACTGGTAGTAGAAACAGTGGTGGAGTGATTGTTACAAAAGAAAGAATGGTGAAAATAGAGAACCCCTTTTCTTTAAAAGTGGGACAAGTATTTACTGGCTTTGGAATTGGCTGTGGAATCGGTATTGGTGTTGGACGCCCTTTAAACTTAGGTTTGTTATGCAACTTCACATTGTCTGTGTTCCTTATTGTTTGTTATTCAGTTTTTTCTTGACTTATCGAACCCAGAAAAATATGAACTTTTCAGAGTTTTTCGGGCCTAAAGCTGGCAAAGACCATAAATCATGTAAACTGTTTGTTTATAGATATCAACATTAGTTTGTATGTTTCAGTTCTATTGGTCCTTCAAGAACATATATTTAGCATACATTTGAAATGTTTAAGTTGCAAGAAGTAATATTTCAGTATATTTTGTATTCTGTTTTAGAGACTGAGTTATGGCTGAATTTTCTGATTTGCTTAGCATTTCTGAAAGCATTGTTCGAGTGATATTGTGTCATTTTGAATATATCCAGCTTTAAGACTGCATTTGTGTTTGTTAGACTTTCTCTGTCAGAATGTGGAAGGCAATGGTATGATGGATGTCGAAGTGGGAAAATATCTTATATGAGTTGGGAAGGATAAATTTGTGCTCTTCTTTCATGAGTGGTTCTTCAGTTTGATTACATGTTTTTGGTGAAGATTTAATGTGTTTGTTGGACGTATATCTGGTTAACGAAATTGTTGCAGGAATTGTTTAGCTGTCTTTTTTACTATGCAAATGAGGTGATGTTCACCTTGATAGATTATACCGATGAGGCATTTTACATATTACCTAGAAGAAAAAAGAAATCATTGTGTGCCGATTTTGATGGTTGAGTGGCATCAGACAACAGCTATAGTTAATGTGGTTCATGATGGTTTTTATTCAAACAACTTCGGTTCTGTTCATTTTCTCTAGTTAAATCTTTTTTAGTGTCTTGAAACAACCGATGACAATTCTCTAATTCTTATTTGCAGGAAATGTATCAAATTAAGCTAGTGAGACCAAATAATTATGTGCCACTTCTACTTTTATCAATAAACGAGAACCAAGGAATTGAACCCTGTTACTTATTTCTCTCTCTTTTACCAAGTTCACATTTCATGCCTCAGGTGCAATACCAATGCTGAACCAAGTTATGGGTGCTGCTAGAGGCGCAACAGATGCCTTTTCTGGGGTTGGAAGGCACGTTAATAGCTCTGTATGTCTTTTAAATCTTCCTTTGAGTCAAATGCTCATAATTAGTATGGTTTGTGTGTTTATGTGTATGATTGAGAAGTATTCCCCTCAGGCTTCCTTCATAAACTTGCTTCTTGATTTTGATTTTTATTATTATTATTATTTTTTAGCTGAGGAAGTTGGGAGCAAAGAACATAGAAGCAGGCATTGGATGTGGAGTAGGCTTTGGCCATGGGTTTGGTGTTGGTAAGGATGGACAAGATGTACAAACTCCAACTATATTGTTTTATCTTGGCAAATTCCAAGGTGAAATCTGAGGGTTATAAATACTGCAAATGGATATCTAATCAGCAGAACTGCCTGAGAGAAAAAGGCTATGGGGATGAGCAGGAGCTGCCCCAAAGTTTAAAGATCTTTTTTACGGTGCATGCTTTCTAGCAAAAGTAAACTTTTAAGTGATCATCCAAGCTTAGCAATGGCAAAATCTCTCTCTTCCCCCACCCCCCCCCCGGCCAATATAGCTTCTTTATTCCTGGAGAGTTACTTTTCTTTTTGGTGTTCACAAGTTCAAATACTGAAAAAGTATATTAAGCACTAAATTTCTGGTCAACTAGATTCCTGAAAGAAAGGAATTTAACTTATTTATGTGCTATTGTTTGCACTTCTGAAGCTGTTGTAGCTGCATGACAGGTCTTGCCATGAAGCCAAGTGTGCTGCATCAGCTTCAGTCGTGCCTCATTGTATGTATATAGTGTTATGCTTTTCAGTTTTCACTAATTCCTGCTATGCTTCATTGGTTCGATCTTACACCTAGTATCCTATCAGCAAACAGTGGCAAATTTAATGATGAGGTTTGGTATAGCTCCGAGCTTGCCTGCTGTCAAAGGTGCTCTTCCAGAGTCATTGCAAGGTGGCCTCAGCATGACGAGCCACAGATCAATTTCAAATCCACTAGGGACTGTTGCACAAGTAGCAAAGAAAGCCCCTGAGCTCAAGCGTCAAGGATTGCCTGGAGATGCAAGTACAGTTTCTTCTGATGAAACTGAAGCTTACAAAAGTACTCCACTAAATGCATCTTACAGTAGTCAAACAGAGAAGGTCCTCAGCAACTTTTTACAAAATCCTCTTTTGAAAGATGAAGACAGAGAAGTAAATGAGCTGGTATGCTAATTGAACCATGCATCCATGGACCTGTCGTTCCCAAATAACTTCTTTGATATGTATATATTAGCTATTTATCTGATTGTTGCTTGACTTTAAAGCTTAGTTATTGATGATTACAGTGTTGCTTTCATCTTTCTTGGTGCATATTTATGTAAGTTACAGTATTGCTGTTGTCTTTCTTAAAATGGTACCTTTGGCTTGTAAATTCCGTTGGCACTGATATAGCTTTTGCAGAGGAGCTTAACGTTTTGAAACTCTACAGCTAAGTTAATGAGAATGTGTTTTGAGCATTTAAAGCTTACAGGCTATGCGAACAAGTAAAAATATGGAATTGTAAAGGATGACCTCTAATTATCTCAAGCCCATTTACATGCTGAATTTTGGAATCAACTTAGTCCATCAGTTTTAAGTTGTGAGTATTTTTCCTGAAATGGAGGTCAAGTGTAAGCTTTCACAACTGGAATTTCTGACCGTAAACTGCATCCCTTCTGCTATTACACCTTCAAGCCTGGTCTTCATTCATTATACTGTAATAAATAATCCTAGGAAGAAGAAATGATTTTTTTGCTCTCAATGTCGTGAATATGTTTACACTGTTTTTACAGATATTATTATGCCTGCAGTGATTATTTGTCTACATCATTTTCAATTTGGTTATGTACATATTTACTGACTTGGAGCACAACTTTCTAAAAATATAGTCTTTGATTTCTTAAAAATTTGCAGGCTGAGCATCTACGCTTGGAGAACAACGTACTTCAGATGGTAATATTTTACTGCTGATCTTTTACTAGCAAATATATGCTGACAGTGATCTAATTGTAGCCCATATTAGATTTTTTAAGGGAACTGTATTTCAGCGTAAGTAGCATGACATTCATGGTTTAGAGAAATAAAATGTGTCTTTATTTCCTCTTGAGACTGTATACAGTCTGTTAAAAAGGTTTTGTGATGAAGCTCAGTGTATTTTCCTAAAACCAAGTAGAAAGATTTTGGACCCTTTATTTATACATCAAGAAAATAATGTGTTATGCATGTATAGGAACTTTGGTGCCAATTTTCAGTGCGGATCAAATGATTCTGTTCCTAGGATATATTTGACGATAATCTAGAAAGTGATGTTCCACATTGATTCAGGTTTTGAGCCATCAGAGAATCATTGAGGGGCTGATGAAGGAAAACGAGAAACTCCACAAGATACTCTTGGAAGACCTGAAAAGCTTCAAGCCACCTCCTTGAGTACAAAGAGTAGTAAGTCTCCATGTAGTGAGTGTTTCAAGTGCCGAAGAAGACTTAGAAAAAGATAACTAATTACATATGTAACTTGTGATATTCTTATTTTTCATGCAAAATATTTACCTTGGGTATTTCTTACTTCCTGGAATCCATTAATGTTGTCAGCTGAAATATGTTGAGAAAAGCACAGAATTGCACATGTGCGCCAAAGAAGCCACTAATCCTCATGATAGGCTAGTAAATACTCGTCCATGAGTATGTTGTTGGCATTTTAGACTTAGAACAACTTAGACACTTCTCTCCATCCTTCTGTCTCTTCCTCAGAAAATTTTATGTCTCAATAATTTACTCAGGTAGAATGAGCAAAGCAGTACATAGCAGTTAGCGTACAACTTATTTGATTGTACATTGGTATGCAATATGCTTAAGCTGATTCCAACTCATACCTCAGGCATTGGTGTCTGTTCTATCCATAGATCAGAATTTTGATCATTTGAATAGGTGGTTATAATTGCCAATATACTCCATAATGAACCTTTTTGAACCAGGAAAAGTTTGCTGAGGAATTTACTGGACTGGTCTAGGCTTTCCATGGTCTTGACTGCAAATGATCCCTTGGAATTTGCAGAATTTGAATGCTCACTAATATATGCTTTTGTAAATCTGAGGTCTCTTCAGTGCTTAGATGGTCCAGTACAATAGAATGATGTGATTACTAGATCTTACTGGTTCAGTGAATGATGAGTTGAAGAATCCTTGCCATTAGTTCAAGTATTCAACCATTCTAACTAGTGGGCCCCGACCACGTCCCATGCAAAAAGTTGATAGTGGAACATAAGAGGTCCCTGTGTCTAACCCATGTACAAAAGAATATTGTTGGTGGTTGAATTAGTAGATCCACCTACTCATTATCCTCTATTCTTTTGGGAGCCTGCTTAACCAAAAATCCTTGAAATTCATCCTTGTGTCAGAAAGGAGTTCACACAGTACGATCCTTTTGATTGCTCTCCCATTGGTGGCAAAATTTTTGAAACCGTATTATATTATTAAGTTTTTGTGTTTCTTCCAAAGATGCATACCAACAGGCTTTATGTGGAAATCATAGTGGAGAGATTTTATGGCCTATTGTAATATCTTTAGAATCTTTGAATTCATTGGGAAAGGGAGAATACGCATTTTGGATCCAACTCAACTTTTTTGTTGGTTTAGCCGGTTTTACGGTTTTAGTCCCTCTGGCTCTCAAGTTTGGAGGGATTCAAATCCAAGCTTTGTTGAAACTGAGTTTGTCATTACTGTAAGCTTCGTTTTTAGTGAGTTTGTCATTATTCATCTGGTTTAGCAATCAGGGAACTAATCAACATGCATGCTTCTACTTGATGAAGCAGATATTTTGAAGTAGAACAAAGTTAATAGATGTGATAGGAACTCCCAACTCATAGGGAGTAATATCACAGGCTGTTGACTTCATGGAATCATCAAAGATGACTAATTGCTTAGCTTTTTGTTGGAAACCGATGCTCCTCTGTCATAGCCACTGCAATTTTAGAAAGATAATGATCACCAAAGATTAACAATGCCGTGGCATAAGTATCAAATCATTCTTTTTGTGGTTTATACACACAAATTTTGGTTTATACAAGAGTTAAAATGACATTTGATTCGACATCATTAGTGTTGTTATGTGCTGTCACATTATCCTAAATCTTTCTAACGACCCTTTCACAGCTCGAGGCAAAGGTGGTGGATTTGTACAATTCCACTGACTGCATAGTAACTTTCTCGTGTCAATAGCACTGTAAATATTAAAATTTGGGGATAACTGAAGGTTATCTTGATTGATCTCCCTCATTCTTTGTTTGTCTGAAATCTTGTTTGAAGCTGTGTAATTGGATTAACTTCTAGCCAGCTGTTTCTTGAATTTGTATGTATGTTTCATGGTGGGGCTGAGAAACCATGTGCAGGTCACCATCCCGGTCGTGTTTCAGTGGTACCAATTTAGCCCCACCTCACCAGCCATTCTCTGCTTATGCCTGAGTTCCACCATCCAAAGCCCATTCCCCTTTAATTTCCACACACAAGAAAACGTCCCAAGGACACCTTCCTATCCTCTGAAAGAGTTATTCTTTGTAGTTTCCTCCACATACTTGTATCCTTCCAGCTAGCAGACAGCAACATTTTCTTCCTTCGTCCCGTCCCACCAACAATTACACCAGTTCATCATTTCACCTTGCTTCAAGTCCATTTACTCATAAACTTTGAGGACATTACTTTTTTGGTTAAATTCTCCTCGGTGTAATTTTTTGACGGTTGAAAAGGGTGATATAATTATGCATATGGTCAGCTTGCAGCTGCAATCGGACAGGCCGAATTGATGCATGTTTGGAGATATACTTTTAAACATTTTCTCATCTCTCTTGTATTGTAAGATGGTGGACAATGATAAGTGTAGGCTTTTGCACCTGACCTTGGCCTGAAATTGTAGTAACTCTTCAGCAATGAGGGCTACTTGTACCGCCTAATTATGCATGCATGACATAATAAATACTGGTAGGTAGTCGAAGCGGAGAGACAATTTACCTTATTAGGCTAACCTAAAATGTTAAAAGAAGAGATGTAACTCTGTAAAATCTCCAAACCGTCCTGATCTTTGCTCACAAATTACAAATGGAGCTCCAAATTAACCACAAATGAAATAAAAAAAAAATCAAAAGGAAAACAAGAAAAGCTGGAGAGCTCCCAATGAAAAAGAAATACCAGGAAAAGAATACATAAAGCATTATTTAATCTACACAAATGTGAATGGAAATGAATATCGTGGAAACACTGGAGCTTAAAAGAGGAGTGCAACTCCTGCAAAGAGTGTGAGCAAAGCCATGTTACTTCCCTGAACAAATGCACCTGAATCTGGGGAGGAGGGGGTGGTGGTGTTGGAGGGAGCAGGTGCTGGAGCTGGTTGAGAGGCTGGCGTTTCAGGTGCTGGAGCTGGTTGAGAGGCTGGCGTTTCAGGTGCAGGCGCAGGTGGGGAGCTCATGGATGGACTTGGACTCGGAGAAGACATTGGAGGAGGGGATACCGGAGTCGATGAAATGGTGGGAGCCATGCTGGGAGTAGTGCTGGGAGCAGGAGGAGGGGATACCGGAGGTGATGAAGTGGTGGGAGCCATGCTAGGAGTAGTGCTGGGAGCATGAGGAGGAGGAGGGGATGCCGTAGGAGCCATGCTGGGAGCATGGGGACGAGGAGGAGGAGAAGGAGGAGGAGGGGATACCGTAGGAGCCATGCTGGGAGTAGTGCTGGGAGCATGAGGAGGAGGAGGAGGAGAAGGAGGAGGGGGGCTGGGAGCAGCAGGAGGAGGAGGGGATACCGGAGCTGATGAAGTGGGGGGAGCAATGCTGGGAGCAGGAGAGGTTGGCAGAGGAACTGCAACCGTAGGTGGTGGTGTAGCGGAGGTGGAGGGTGGCGCTGCATTTGATGTTGGAGGGAATGATGGCGCTTGAGCAGCTGAAAAACCGACCAAGGTAAGGGATAAGCCTAGCACGAGCATGGCACTTGAGACAGCCATGACTCCTGAGGACTAGAAGCAAATGGTGATCTCACAAAGAGGATAAATGTTGTATTAGACAAGAGCAGCAAAAGGTTTGAGGGACTTGAGGTTTTATATATAGGGAACAGAAGTAGCAAAGTTAAGAAATTATCTCATTGGGCACACCACCGGGTAGTACTAAATGATTTGTGCATTTGGGAGTTCTAGAGAAGGTAGTGGCTGTGCACTTCTTATTTATCTCCCATTGTACTCTTAGTCTTACATATAATATAAATGAAAAAAGAAACCGAATTCTAGTAAGGAAAAAGGGGTTAAAAAGTTTGATGCCTCTAGTCTAGAGGATTCCTTTTTTTTTTTTCCCTGCTCTCATTGATATGTGTAATAAAGACACAGCCGAGGAAGTTGTCCAAGACATAGAGGTTCTGTGGTGGAGATTGCGTCTTTGCTTTTATTGACTTGAGCTGGAGAGTCTCTGTGTCTTAAGTCATAAGTATTTGGGTGTAAATGGTCCATAACATACCCAACATATTATTATGGCTTGATGCTTTGCTTGCTTGCACTTCTATTTTCTCTCAGCAGACTCGTGACTGCTGCCTTTCATCACGAGACTCGCAACATCAGATGCAGAAAATCACCCCCAAATAATTGCTGCTATTTGCTAAAACTACAGAATAATGTTCTTGTGAATTACGGCCAAAAACAACTGCAAGGCCAATATGGAAATTCAATCTCCATCCTAGTTCTTGACCTGTGTAGCTTTTGAGTTCCACACGAGTATAGCTCAGTTACATGACATGTAAATCCCATATGGTGGTGCTTGATTGACCTTTTCTCGATGGAAAGCAAAAGCAGTGAAAAGGCCAACAGGGAAATGCTGGTTAAGGTGTATAAAGATTGGGACCAAGCTGGGAGTGTCGAGAACAAGAAAAAAGGTTGAAGAAGATTTACATTGAATATTGTGGCTGTGTAATTGCTCCGAAAATGGCGGGCCATTCTCCAGGAGGTTACTTCGGACATTGGCATCAGCACTAGCTGGTGATGATTCATCAATGCATATTTCGCCATTGATTGACAGAGATAAGAAAGGGAAAGCAGTGTGGTCTGATGAGGGTATTGCCCCCCCCCCCCCAAAAAGCCCAACCAAAAAAACAATCCTGACATTTCTTCATTTTCCACAGAGATGTCCCTTTCGGACCTCACTGTACGTTGCTGAGGAGGTTATTATCACTGAGAGTTTCTAGTAAGGGTTAAAATCAAAAAAAAAAAAACCGTCTGATATACGTAATACACAGAAAAGCCTCCTGCAGTTTCAAAATATATAAAATGACACCTCATATTTTGAACTAAATTGTAAACTAACAGAATTTATTAAACTTAACGGAATCCGATAAATTTTACTGAAAATTTAAAGGAATCCGATAAATTTAACAGTCGAAACCGTCATTTTCGTTGACTTTAACGAATCCTGTTAGTTTACAATTTAGTTCAAAACATGAGGTATCACTTTATATGTTTTGAAATCACAGGAGATTTTTTTTGTGTATTAGGTATACTACATGGGACTTTTTGTTTTTAATCCTTCTAGTAATACTGTACTAAACAAATTTCTTCTTCAATGTCTTGAGAAAGAGAGGTCAATTAACTTAATAAGCTGAGCAAACAAGAAACGCTTATTACAGCTCATTCCATCTATGTTACGTCAAATTTCAGCTTTGCTTTTCTTGTAATGACGAGGATATCTCGCTTTCTTTCTTTATGGTGG